TGTCTGACTCTAGCCTGATGAGACCAGTCCCAAAAGTCTCCCTGGCTTCCAAGGCCCAGCCCCTGTCTGCACTGGAGACAAGTCTGCATTAATGCCCACCCACTCAGGCAGGAAGGCAGCCTCAGGCTTGAAGACCTTCAGGAACTCTGAGTTTGGCAGGGTGAAGTTGGCAAGGTAGACAGTGTCTCCACCAGCCAGGTAGGCAGCCCAGAAGCCAAAGGTGCCAATGGTCATGATAGTGTGGTTGCACTGAGTGAGCAGGGCAAAGTCCTTCCCTGGTGAGCCCTCGTGCCCATCACCAGCAAAGACCACATCACCCCGAGAGATGTCAATATTTTCCCAGCACCACTTCATGTCATTGCTGGTGACCACAAAGATGGGGGCTTCATGCCGGGCCCGGAACCAGTCCATAGCCTGCTGGAGATAGACACGGTCACCCACCACACCCTTCCAGCGCTGGGGCATCACCTGCAGATAGTCCCCACGGCGCACATGGACACCCACGAAGGTTCGAGGCCGGGCCCCAGTGTGGCCCAGACGAAACTGACTCAGCAAGTGCTGGGCCTCATCACGAAGATGGTCATGAAGGGTGAATTCCCTGCGGATTTGTTCCCGAAGGTGATGGAAAAATGTCCAAGAGCAGGGAAAACCAGACAGCTTCAGAAATGGATCCTTCAAGCAGAAATACTCCTCTGACATCCAGTCATGCAGCTGCAACTTCCGCCACGGTGTCCGACTGTCTACCTCAGATGTCAGCACGGGTAGCGTGATGCGGAACACCGGGGCCAGGGTGGCATGCATGGCTGGCAAGATGAAGGCACGGCGGCCATTGAGCTGGGCCAGGGCAAGCAGTGCCGCATACTGCCCCATCTGGTTACCCAACCGGCCATCTGGGTGGACAGTCCAGGTTCCTGAGACGGGGTCAGCATTCTGAAGACAAGAGGAGGAGGTGTTTTGGGTGAGCTGTTTGTCAGCCAGGCAGATGATGGCCACTGGGGCTCTCAGCAAATGGCTGTCTGGACAAAGGACCGACAGGCGGAGGCCATATTGAAAGAGGTCTTGGTGGAAGTGGAGAAAGGATATTGCTGAAAGGACACAGACAAGCAGGAAGGCCAGGCAGAGCTGGTGGCGGCTGGGGGCCCACATGGCTGGAGAGGAGGAAAGGTGAATTTAGGTGAATTCCAGGAAGGTCAGGGAGGAGAGGCCTGGGGTCAGGGACTCCTGGTCCCAGACAAGGAGGAAGCTAAAAGTGTGGGCTTCTGGGTCTTAGGTAGGAAGTGGCTGGGCGCTGATCCTAGGTTGGAGTGATGAGAAGCTTGGAATCTCCAGGGGGGATGGTGGGCTCAGCGGTGCACATCTGTAATTCCTGTGCTGGTGACTTGGGAGGCTGAAGCAGGAGGATGCCAATTACCAGGCCAGCCTCAGCAACTTAGGGAGACCCTGCTTCGAAAATAAATAAATAAATACCATAAGAAGGCGCTGGGGATCACAAACTCCCTTGTCAGATGTAGCAGTCTTTGAAGGGTCCACTCCACCACTGAGGTGATGGGAAGCCACAGTTGGAGTGTGGACTGCGGGAGAGATCTTAGTGCCTGTAGAAGCGGGTGAGGAGGAGACTCCTGGGATCTCAGTGGTGAGAGGTTGGGGGTGGCCTCCCGGTCCGAAGGAGGAGCGGCTTGAAGGCCGAGGTTTCTGGGGCTCCCGCATCCGCCCTGTCCACTAACCTGAGGTCCTCGCAGTGGCAGGTCTACCCATGGCTCCGCGTGGCCGCAGCGCGCAGTCCAAAAAATGCAGCCCTCATTCGACCTCCCCTCCAAGGGACAGGCCGCGAGGCTGGGGTGGGGAGAAAGGAGAGGAGCGAGTTTCTAAGGCTCGCAGCCTCCGCCCTCCCTCCGGAGCCGGGCAGGGAGCAGCGGGAGGAGCCCCGCCCCTTACCTGGCGCGGGTCCTGAGCGCCGGGGGCTCGGGAGGTGCCCCGGCCCCTCCTCTCACCGGGCGAGGTGAGCAGCGCGCCCCAGCCCCTGGCTCTGGGCATTCTGCCGGAGCCCGCGCAGCGGCCGCATCTTGCGTGAACTGGATCCCTGCCTCTAAGCGGGACCCGGGAGGTCCAGTCCGGCGAGCTCCCAACCGTGCCGGGGCTTACGGTCTGCTTCCAGCGCGGCGAGCACCGAGCGCGACCACGCCCCAGCAGCTGTGCAGGGCCCGCACACCTGGTCCCGCCGGGTGGGACATCCTCCGCCCCTGCCGCGCCCTCCCTAAGGGATGGAGAACCTGTTTGCCCAGCAGCCGCCGGAGCGCAAGAGAATGCAAAGCCACTGCCCGCCCTTCCAGCCCCGGAGTGAGGGCCTCCCGCCAGAAGCTGACTCGAGCCTTCCGTGGTTCCCCATTCCGATTCACCCCCAGCCACACTCAAATTGCACAGCCCCCGCCCCAGTTCCTCCTTTGGAGGAGTTCAGGGCCTGGCGATCAACTGCTGCTTTCTAGACGGGTTTTCCGCGAAGGCAACCTTTCCTGCAAACTGAAAATCCAGGGAAAAGAGGGCTCGTCTCCCTGGCCTCCAACCCAGGCCCTGCACCTGGCGCCAGGGACAAAGGCTCTGAGCTCCTGCCGACCAGAACCCGTTTCTATGTTTCTGTTGATCCAAGGCCCCACTGCCCTGGCCCTGAGCACCCAGACCCTTGTCATTACACATAAAGCCTGTTCAAAGACACAGGCGTTTGACTTGACTCACCAGAGATTTGACTATTATTTCTTAAAACTGAAGACTCCCAGGCCCTCCTCCCTCCAACCCAGGAATCCAGCCCCTGCACTTTAGGGGTTCCAGGAAGTTACTCAACCCCTCTGGATCTCACTTCTCCCTCCAGGACCTGGTTACCAGGGTCGGATTCTCACCATCCCCACCCCCAGTCTATTTTGGTAGCACCTGTCTGGGCCCAGAGTAGCTGCTCTGGTGAAAGAAACACCAGGATTGCATCAGGAAAGGCCACGGAGCAGGGGTTGAAGAGGGTGAAATTGATCCGTGGCCTAGAGTGAGGTTTCCGAGCCAGGACACCTGCTAGGGACACTTCTTTCACGTGGTCTCAGCTTCCTGATGGTTAAGGAAAGGGTCGGACCTTCAATACCCAGAAACCTAGAAATTGAAAAGGGATGTAAATTTCATGCGTGCAACAACAACAAAAATCTATATTGAAAAAGTCAGGAAAGTGGTTTCCAGGATCTTTACCCCACTTCCCTCAGACCCAGGGTCCAGCCTCCAGGCCTCCTCCCTGAGACCCAGAGGTCAAGGCCCCAGAACTCACCCTTCAGATCCAGGGGACCTGGCCTCAAGCCTCCTCCCTCGCACAGGGGTCCAATTCCCAGACCTCTTCCCTCAGACCCAGAAGTTCTTGAGCACAAAGATCCTCCTTCCCCAAAACCAGGAATCTTAGCCCTTGGCTCCTTTCAACGAGTCCCAGTAGATCAGGTCTTCATCTCCCTCAGCCCCCAGACCCAGGGGTCCAGGCCCCCAGCTCAAAGGACCACCCCCCCCTCATTGCATCATCCATCCAGACTGCCCTGGCCACGGTGGAATTCTGGCTTCTGCCAAATGGGTCAAATATCATGTGTCGGAGTGGGGAGGACAAGAGGGCGGGTCTGTCTGGGTATAAATTCTGGAGCTTGTGCATCCATCCCAAGAGTCCTGGGTGTCCTGTCAGCTGGGGATCCACAGGTAGGAGGACTCAAGCTCCTGGATGATCTGAGCCACAGTCGATCTGCTGTCCCGGACAAGCACATCTGGAATTGATTCAGGACTGCTCACCTCCTCGGACCCCATACTCCAGACCCCGCACTCTGGACCCCGCCTGAGGACAAGAACCATTGATGGACTGGGACAAGGCCAAGTTTGAGCCCCTGGGACTGTGGGTCCTGGTGCTGGCTGCCCTTGTGCTGGGAGCCTGCCAGGCGTACCCCATCCCTGACTCAAGCCCCCTCCTCCAATTTGGGGGCCAAGTCCGGCAGCGGTACCTGTACACAGATGATGCCCAGGAGACTGAGGCCCACCTGGAGATCAGGGCTGATGGCACCGTGGTGGGGGCTGCCCATCAAAGCCCGGAAAGTGAGTGTGGGGTGGATGATTCCTCAGGGAGGAGGCTGTGGGGCCTGGGAGAGGCAGTTCCCAATGTCTCACCACTTTGTCCCCCAGGTCTCTTGGAACTGAAAGCCTTGAAGCCTGGGGTCATTCAAATCTTGGGGGTCAAAACATCCAGGTTCCTGTGCCAGAGGCCAGATGGAGTGCTGTATGGATCGGTGAGTTTCCCAGTCTCTGTTTTGGGGTACCAACCTTCATGGTATATCATCTTCACAATCTGGGTACCCTTTCTTGCACACTTCACCCAAGCTGGCCTCCGTCCCATGCTATCTACACTCACAACCTGACTGCAACCCCTGCAGGCTGAGACAGTTGTTACCAATGTTTGCAAAATGAGGCGCAGGCAGTCACCATTGGCCTTATGTCATGGGTGAATGGCAGAATGGCCTGAGAGGCTGAGTCTCAGAACTATAACCCCTGCTCCTGGCCATACAGCTCCTGCATGCCTCGCTTATCCTGAACATGAGGAGGGACATTCCAGGAATCCGTGGCTCACAGTGAACATGACCTTTAGGCAGTACCCAGACCCCCTACCTGGCCTTAGAAAGCCATGACTGGTACCGGGCTAGAATGTTCTCTGTGAAGTAAGAACAGGGAGGTGATCTCTGCAGGACTGCCCTGGGGTAAAGGAGGAATTTGCTTGTAGTGTTCTGTTTCCTAAGGGAGCCTGGGGACCTGGACCCCTGGGTCCCTGGGTCTGAGGTGGGACACCTGGGGCCTGAGCCTCTGGGTCTGGGAAGAGGGCTGTGTCTGGACCCTGGGTCTGAGGGAAGAGAGCTGGGGCCTGGACTCCTGAGTTCTAGCGGACTTAGGTCTCTGAACCCTGTTCTCTGTCCCTCAGCTCCACTTTGACCCTGAGGCCTGCAGCTTCCGGGAGCAGCTTCTGGAGGACGGGTACAATGTTTACCAGTCAGAATCCCACGGCCTCCCCGTGCGCCTGCCCCCTAACTCACCATACCGGGACCCAGCGCCGCCAGGACCAGCCCGCTTCCTTCCACTGCCAGGCCTGCCCCCAGCAGCCCTGGAGCCGCCAGGGATCCTGGGCCCTGAGCCCCCTGATGTGGGCTCCTCCGACCCACTCAGCATGGTGGGGCCTTTGCAGGGCCGAAGCCCCAGTTACGCTTCCTGAAGCCATGGGCCCTTCATTTTGGGGTCTCCTCTTATTTATTGGGGTATTTATCTTATTTATTTTTTTATTTTTTTCTATCTTGGGATAATAAAGAGTCTGAGAGAGGAGTATCTAACGAGTATGTGTGTTTGAGAGAGGAAATGGGATCTGTGTCTGGTCTCTGTTGACCCTGAGATCAGTCCACATGTCTGTCCCCGTTGCCCTAAGGCCCCAGTCTACCACTGGTCCTTATTTTTCTGTTCTGGCAAGGTAACCCAAGGGTCTCCAGGACTATTCCTACTCCCTGACAGGACAGGAATTCTTATCCATCCCTGCCCCCATCCTTGTTAACATTATGGAACTAATAATTCTCTGAGGTACCATAATAATGGGGGACTGAAAAAAAATCCACACTGTAGCCCCACAGCCTCATGGGAAATGTAGTTCCTTGGAAGTAGGAATGGGGAGATTCTTTGTCCTCAGAGCTGAGTGGGGCAGGGGCTCCTGGATCTTGGGGGCGGGGGGGGGATACATTTGCTGCTAGGATAACACTGGAGTCCTGAAGGATTACCAAGCTGGACACCTAGATACCTGGGTCCCAGAGGGACAGGGGAATAGGAACCTAGACACAGTGGTGTGAGGGAGGAGGGGCTGGAGACTGGGAGTCCAAGGTCTCAGGAAAAGGGTCAGAAACTGTCCACCCAGACACTTGAGGACTTTGGAGAGTATCCAGTCCCGCAAACGCTTGTCTGGTCTCCTCCCCTCCAGGCCAGGGAGGATGTGAGGCCAGGGAGTTAGACTACAGCTCTCAGGATCAAGCTCGTCCCTGCCTGTCCCAGGTGTCGGACAGACCAGCCTCATAGAAGTTGCAGTCCGGGGCTCTTGACCCTAACTCTGAGGTTCAATCGACACAAATCTTGCTGTCAAGTGACAAATAGTCCCTGAGGGCTTCAGGTGGGCCCTGATACCCAGAAGAAAGTCGGTGTCCGGTAGAAAAGGCAGTTTTCCCCTCTGATGGAACAAGGCCGGCTCCATCGAGGAAAGAGAACTGTGAAGGCTCCCAGGAAGGAGAGACTCAGATCCCAAGGTGCCTCACATGAGGGGCAGGCTCCTCGCCAGAAGAGCCCCCCTTATCTTGACAAGAAAAGGAAAGTCACCCTGGAGTCACCCTGGAAGAAGCACTAGCCACCACCCCGGCCACCTTCCCACCCACACACCACGTCTGGGTGGAGGCTCACATGAGGGGCAGGCTCCTCGCCAGAAGAGCCCCCCCTTATCTTGACAAGAAAAGGAAAGTCACCCTGGAGTCACCCTGGAAGAAGCACTAGCCACCACCCCGGGCCACCTTCCCACCCACACACCACGTCTGGGTGGAGGCTCGGAGAACAGAGGCCAGAGGCCAGAAGCCAAGGAGGAGGGACTGCAGGAAGGGACTGTGTGATGGAGGCCCACAGAGGCCCAGAGAGAGAGAGATGGAGACCCAGAGAAGGAAGAACAGAGACTCCAAGATGGGAGAAGACAGAGTCCGGGAGAGGGCAGTCAGGAGGGTACTTGGGCACGGGGCTCCATTTCCAAGGACCCTGGACTCTTGGGCCTCCTTTCCCGAAGGAGGAGTCCCTTTCTCTCGTCTGGACACATTATCCCCCCTTGCCTGGAGAGCTCAGCTTGAACCTCTCACCACTTCCAGACCCATACTCCTGCCAACTCCCAGCAGGTTTTACAGGATGAGACGACACAGTGATGGGTGAGAGACACAGCAGCGAACACGCTGCAAGATCTCGCGTGTGGATACTGACAGGAAATGGCCTGGGAAGGCTGGGATCCTGGGGTGGGTCACTGTCACCTGGAAATGTCTTAGAAATGCAGGTGCTGGGCCTTACTGAATCAAAAATTCTGAGCCAGGCACCGTGGTGCACGCTTGAGATTCCAGCAACTTGGAGAGGTTGAGGCAGAGGATCATGTGTTCAAAGCCAGCCTCAGCAATTTAGGAAGGCCCTAAGCAACTCAGAGAGACCCTGTCTCTCAATAAAATATAAAAAATGGCTGGGGATGGGGCTCAGTGGTTAAGCACTCCTGGGTTCAATCTCCAGTACCAAAAAAAATAAATTAAAATAAAATAATAATAATAATAATAATTCTGGGAATAGAGAACTCAGAGATGGAAGTTGCAGTTGCAGTGGGACAGTGGAAAGGGTAATGTCACTTTCTTAGAGAAGCCACACAGCACTGCAAGCTTA